TTCCAGTTTTGCACCTATATTATTCTAGCTATATTATAAGACAGGACCTTATTTTCTTTTGACCCCTGAAATAAGCCCTTGGCCTTATTTTCTGGGAGGTCGTCTTATTTTTGAGGTGAAGGAGTACGGTCACCTCATGGCTGCTGCTGTTTTGCAATATTTTCAGGGGAGGGCTTATTTTAACGCATGCACTCAAAAGCCCGATTGGGTTTATTATCCCTGGGAGGTCTTATTTTCAGGGAAACTGGGTAATTGAAACCTGAAAGATTCTGCGGTTTTATTTTAGTGCCCCCCCCTTGAAGCAGAAGTCAAAACCAATCCTCGCTTCAATCATCCGATGCATAAGGCGAGCCTGCAGCTTTATTCCCTCATCGAAGTATAATTCTGTGAAATCAGCGGAATTTGTTCTTGCTGAACAAAATGGTTTTTTTTTTATATTTAATCTCCCGCTTCTGATTCCACAGGAAAAAAACAAAAACGATGTAGTAAAACAATTGCAGGCCTCAACTCTTTATTTTTGCTTGTCACGGAGTTAGCCGAACTCTGGTTTTCATCATGTCCCGCTTTCGTTTTCTCACCCAGATACATGCGATCTCCACTTCAAAGCCACCAAGGACCGCTATGGAGGGCAGCCCCTGTTTTCGGAGAAATTCCCCAATCTCTGGTCTGGGGCGAGAAGCACACACGGGGTGAAAGGGGGCAAAGTCTGCTTCGAGGCGAAGGTGAGGAGGCTGGCAGTCTGCGCTTTACAGTTTTTGGTCGCAAGTTGGGCCAATTGGGGGTACACTCCCATTTAATTTACATGGCAGGATGTTTCTTCACTAGGGGTGGTGCTTACAGGTGGAGCTCTTGCCTCACAATCCGGAGGCTATGAATTCGATCCTAAGTAGAGTCAGATATTTCTCTCTCTCTGGGCACGATGAGAATAGATCTGCTGCATAAAACTCCGCATTGGTGACAGGAAAGGCATCCGGCCATTAAAACACTCTGCTCCATTCAGTTGCTCCCGACTCCACCCAGCAAAAAATTATGGGGTCGTTAAATGATGATGATGCGTCATCCTTAGGGAAAAGGCTGAAAATTGGTAGGAAAAAAACAGATTTACAGTTGCTTGAAAGATTTGGATAATGGGCATAAAGCAGCAGCATTTGGAATGGGTAGTCCTCCACTTACGACCACAACCAGAATTTTCATTGCTGGCAGTTGTTAAGTGAGTTGATTTTCCAACCTTTTTGGCAGTTACTAAGCAAATCACTGCATTGTTAAGTGAGTCATGTCGTTAAGCTATTGACTTTGCTTGTCAAGACACCAGCTGAGAAGATTTGCAAATGGCAATCTTCACACATAAGTGCGAGGACCGGTTGTAAGTCACTTTTCTCGGGTGCCACTGTAACTTTGAACGGTTGGTAAAAATGTTGGTAAGCCGAGGATTATCTGCGTTACAAATAAATTGACCAGGAAGCCAAGTTGCTTAAACTGCTGTTCACAGGGCACTTTTTAAAAAATCAAAATCTAAGTCTTGTAGAAGAAGGGAACTCGGAAGGGAAATTGGCCAGGAAGGGAGATTCACATCTTCTCTAGGCCCATTTCCCACCTGGTGTTGTTTTGGCTTTTTCCCTTCACCTGTCTTAGGTGATACAAAATCTGCCACTCAAGGAAGGCTGCACAGAGACTCACCTGCTTCGGGTCGGATGGTCTGTCGATCTCTCTCGTTCCCAGCTAGGTAAGCCGCCCTTCTAAGTAACCTTCCAGGACAGCTCAGCTGATCCTTCCTGGGTTAGTAGTGAGGGGGAACCAGGAATTTTTTTTTGGGGGGGGGGGTACCCACAGCACCCTCCTGAGTAAGCATATGCTGTCTCCTAGGTGAGGATGAGTTTTCTTACGGCTACGATGGACGAGGGCTGAAGGCTGAAAATGGGCAGTTTGAAGAATTTGGCCAGACCTTTGGGGAGCAGGACGTGATCAGTTGCTTTGCTGTAAGTGCCGTGCAAGAAGACTTGATTGGGGGGGGGGGGTCTCTGGAGAAACCCCCCGTTTGGGGCACGAACCAGGGGCTGCACAAGTGAACTTTGCTCTGTTCCTTGATCCGGTCTCATTCAAGAAACCCGCCTGATTTTAAGTGCCATCTTCAGCCTTTGCTCTAATCTCCTTAGAAGGGCCCCATCTGTCCGTCTGGTTTGCTGGCCATTCAGCAAAGCACCGCTGGTTCCTGCTCGATTTGCCGCCGCCCCCATCCCCGTCCCAAACCCCCGCAGGGCCGATACTTCCCCCCCCCCCCCCGCTTTCACACCTTCTGTCTCCTGCCTTGCAGAACTTCGAAAGCGAAGAGGTGGAGCTGTCCTTCTCCAAGAACGGAGAGGACCTGGGCGTGGCCTTCCAGATCAACAAAGAATTGCTGGGGGACAAGGCCCTCCTGCCCCACATCCTGTGCAAGAATTGCGCCGTGGAGCTCAACTTTGGCCAGAAGGACGAGCCCTTTTTCCCGGTTCCTGAGGGCTTTACGTTCATTCACGCTGTCCCTGTTGAGGAGCGTGTGCGCACCCCGGCACCCCCCAAAGCTCCTGCAAAATGTGAGGTAGCCTAAGTTTCTTTGTTTCGCTCCCTTTCCTCCCCACCCCTTCCTATAAACAGCCTGTTAGATGGCTTCAGTCTTGCGGGGGATCAGCTGGCAGTTGTGTTCGCACTGCAGTTGCAGCTGCGAAAAGGTTGTCGTTTAAATTCGATCTCTAACATCGGTTTGCGTATCTTATTGGTCGGTAAGAACCTGCTTTAGGGAAGTTGCCTGATGAAGTTATAGGTCAGGAAGGCAATACAGGCCGTGCATTTCCCATTTTTTAGTCGGATACAAATTAATTTTTTTCTCCTTGGGCGGGGGGGGGGGTGTCTCCGAACTTGGCAACTTTAAAACTGGCATTCTTCAACTCCCGGAATTAAAAAAAAAAACCTCAGCCCGGCTGAGGAATTCTGGGATTTGAAGTCCTCAAGTCTTAAAAAGTTGCCACATTGTGAAGATCCCTGCCCCTGGGCATCCTCCCTCCTTCACGTTGGTGTGAGCATTGCTCTGTGTCCTCTGTTCAATCAGTGGCAAGGAATGGGGAGTTTCCCAAAAGGGAGAAGCTGTGTCTTGAACCTCAAGCTCCAGAAACACTTTGTTTTCTTTTTCCCTTCGGAGTACCGATATTTATAGCTCAGGGTTGAATTGTGGGGTCTTTAGTGCTTTCTGAGCTTGGTGGTTTGCTTGCAGACATTTCATGACCCAACTAGGTAACATCATCAGTGCTAGAAGGCAGTGGGGTTTGTTCTCTGTGCCATTCAAAGGAGACAAACTAGAAATACATTTGGAAATTTCAGACTGTACCAATAGAAGAGAATATTTGTAGCTCAGATTTTGAACCGTAGAATCCTTGGTGCTCTCTGTGCCTGGTGGTTTTCTTGCAGACATTTCATGACCCAACTAGGTAACATCATCCGTGCTTGGAGGGAATGGGGTTTAGTCTCTCTTTATGTACAGATGGCTTGCTTTGTCGGGACGATGGGGTTACCTAGTTGGCTCATGAAACTTTTGCAAGCAACAACAATGATGGCAGTTCAAATCCCAAGTACAGGTCTCCTGCGTGAGCAGGGGGTTGGACTGGATGACCTCCAAGCTCCCTTCCAACTCTGTTACTTCAGAACACCAAGGACTGCACAATTCTAAGATCTCTAATTCTCTAAGCAAAGAACGGAAATGCTACCCTGGTTTGTTAGAGCTTTGATTCCCACAGTGGCCACTCATCAGTGCCCCCCGAGAAGACCACAAAAGCACCCCAAAACAATTGAGGCTTCCGCCCTCTGCTTCTAAAGGCCTTGAGGAAAAAAGTCATTTGTGACTAGCAGCCACTGACAGCCACATGATCGGAATCACTGCAGACCTCTTTTAAAAGCCAGGCATGCTACCAGTCCTCGGGATACCTCACAATAGGCAAACCGCTGCTATTCTTAATTCAGGGCCAGCAGCTTTTTCGGCAGCGCGAAGCTCTCCTTGAGTGCATCTCTCTGCTAATGGATTGGTTAAAAGGCTGCAAATATTTCTGGCTACCGTTACCTTAGTTTCCCTTTTATCTTTTTTTTCCCTTTGGAGAGGTATTTGAAGGTATCCCCGTAATCTTAATAGCGTTTTGGCAGCTCCTCCTCCTGCAGAGGCCTCGGATGGACGGCGTTGCTTACTCTCTCTCTCTCTCTCTCTCTCTCTCTCTCTCTCTCTCGTCTTCCTGAACCAGGTTTTACTGATGGTTGGGCTACCAGGATGTGGGAAAACGTTTTGGGCCCAGAAGCACACCCAGGAGAATCAGGACAAGCGTTTCAACGTCTTGGGAACCGACAACATCCTGTACCAAATGAAGGTTAAAATAAAAGAAAGAAAGAAAAAAAAGACGGGTGCCCCTAACTAGCAGCTGCCAAGGAGTTCGCACCACAATTGAGCTCCAGATTTCCACTGTTAAGCGAGACAGTTGTTAACTGCCACTTTTGCCCCATTTTACAACCTTTCTTGCTGCAGTTGTTAAGGGCATCCCTGCAGTTGAGTTAGCAACGCGGTTGTTAAGCGAATCTGGCTTCCCTGTTGACTTTTATGTGTCCGAAGGTCGCAAAAGGGGATCACGTGACAACACCCCCCCCCCCCCCCCGTTAACACTGCATCCGTCATAAATATGAACCA